GTATTTACATACATGGCATTTTTTCTAACTCTTTTGCTTCCGTTTATCAAAAGGCAAATATTTTGCTTTGCGACAATAGTAGACGTTCGAATACTCACTGTGTTTCGTTAGATAATCGCACACTCATTGGCGGCAGTACAACTGTCTCTCTTGTATCTCTTTGTGCAATGTTGTATGGCCAGACCACCATACTATAAATATAGCAAAGGTATTTAATGCAAACCTAGTCTAGATATCAACCACAGTATAGACAGTAACCAACCTTTTTGGGTTGTTGTTGTAGTAGTCGTTGTTGTTGTAGTTATATTCACTCCTGAGGAAGGCACGGGGTTGTGTGCTGCTATTTAATGGCCTTCCTCAGACTTTTTCTTAGATTTCAGGGTTGTGTGCTGTATTATTATTAGATAAATAAATTTAAGTATTTGTCAAATCGTGATTTTATTAAAAGAAAATTATAAATGGTGTTGAAAAACCAAACAAACGCTCGTGCGAAAGCTCTATTTTTGTGTATTGTTAAAATTTATACATGGCGTACTTATTCTTTTGTGGACTTTATGTTACTTGAGAATTTAGACAACGTGCGAGCTGCCAGGTTCTGTTATCAATATAATTAACACAAGCTTTTCCGAGTGGTTGCCTTTCAATAAAAAGAATAAACAAATATTCGCAAATAAATTGGATTTATTTTATAACTGACAACTAACCTACGCTTTTTGTTCTCTTCTCCATTTTAATTTTGACTCCTTATTACCGCCAACAACTTTATGTGTATACATATTTACAAGCTGTCAAAATTTTGCGTAGTCCCACGAGCTAGGTAAAAACTATGGCATTCGTATTCACAACGAGAAATCTCAAAATTTTTGTTTGGTCTTTCCAAATTTTCTCTTTTTAATCAGTTGGCAAAGGCCCTCAGTGGCAGCGCTCCGAGCGTTGAGATAGTAATTTCATGTCAATTAGTAGAAAAGTTCCATGTTGAAAAAACTTTTTATTATGTCTCGTCATTTACATTTCTGCTGTGCCAATTCGTAACTTTTTACTGGTGAAAATTTTTGACAGTTGCTCTGGTTCAAAAGAAGTTGAGCAATTAAAATCAGAAATTATACAAAAAAGACTTGTCTTTACTGACATTTATTCTTCTAGAACTAAAAGCCATGAATTTATTAGACGCCTTAGTAATAAAATCAAACCATCAGGCCGGGTTGAAAATTTTCATTCACCTCATAGTTAACAAAAATTTACAATCCGTAGTACTTTTCTATCAATTCGCAAATGCGTTTAATTTAAATCGTTTAGAAAATGCGTCATTTATGTATACCATTTTATGTGGAATTATTCAATAAATTTCGTTTTACACTATACTTCTTGAAACTATTTGGAGTTAATTATTTTTTGTTTCTTAAAAGCAACCCTGCGTGCTTGGAAGGCGTGTGTACCAATAATTTCATCCCTAGCATATTCGTCCCCGAGGAAGGCAGTCGCCAAATTCACCGAAGGTTGTTTACTGGTTATATTGTGATATCAACCTCGTCGTAGGTATCATATCAAAGACATACTATCAGAAAAACTCTAGAGATAGATGTCACAAGTTCACAAATACACAAGCAAACTTAAGCTACTAAAGGGTCAGCTTAGCAGGTAGGTTAAGACCGGGTGATATATGAAGAATATGAAGCAGGCAAACAAAATGTAAGAATTTGGGATTTCCAAATTATTGATTATTGCTTACCCGTGTCAACCTTAACTCTCAATCTACGGTTTTTTTCGTTTAGCATTGCATGCAACATGTACATACATTTCACTCATTTATTTCAACAGTGTCATAATCCAAAAAAAAATAATCAAAAATCGACTTAAGCATGTAGAAATGGCCGCTACCTCTTCTTTCGTGCTACGTAAAAATTTCGTGGCTGTGACCAGTAGCTCACTAGAGCAAAATATGAGTTGCGCTCCCTAACTCGCAAGAAGTTGCAAGAATTTACCAGAAAGCGTTCCCGTACTCGGTTCTCTGGCAAAGATTTTACCCGAAGAATTTTTGCTGGTAAAAACTTGTAAAGTGTCAAACCATCAGCTGTTCCGTATTGTCAAAGTAATTTGAAAGTTGAATAAATAAATACAAAACACCATCTGCATTTTCATTTTATTAAAAATCGTGTTATTAACGAAGAAATGTCGAGCTTTGTAAGTATTTTTGTCTATTTGACTGCATATTCGGAGTGTTAGTGTTTATAATTATAAAAACACAGGCAGTTTCTGAGGAAGTAACCGGCACGGATACTAGGGCCGCAGCCATTGCTGAACTAATGGATTCATCGAGTGATTCCAGCGATAGTGAGATGTTTGAAGCAACTTTAGCACAAATAAGTCACAGGCAGATTGTTCTCTTTAACGAAGTGGCAAAACTCTTTCTGAAACAAACGAGGAATAGCATAAAAAACTATTTAGTAGATGTGATGCCTATGTATTCGGAATATGAGTTTAGACAACACTTCCGTATATCAAAGCAGCTATTCACCAGCTTGGCAATGCGGTTGGAAGTAAACGAAATATATACGAGATTGCGATCAGATAAACGCCTTCCAGCCACAAGTTATATGGCAATATTTTTATGGTTCGCTGGCCATGAAGCGTGTAGTTATCGAGATCTATCTGATCGCTTTGATATTGCAATTTCAAGCGTTTCTCGTATCATCGAAAGAACTACAATGTTCATAAGCAGCTTAAGTCCAGAAGTCATTAAATGGCCGAGTGAGGTGAAAAAACGTGAAGCTGCAAACTTTTTCAATAATAAATGCGGATTTGCAAAAGCAATAGGTGAGTAGCATATGTATGTGGTCAAATAGTCAGTCGTAAATTATTACATATGCAAATTTTTCCATGTTTAAGGGTGCATAGACGGAACGCATATAACAATTGATCCGCCGGCCGAAAACAAAGATGAATACATTGACCGAAAGGGCAACATGTCTTTGTGCGTGCAAGCTATATGTAACGATGAAAAGAAATTTATAGACGTTTTCGTAGGATTTCCTGGTTCGAGCCATGATAGCTGGGTTTTCCAAAATTCGCCTACATATGAAAATTTGTCATCTCTGTGTGGAGGTAATATATGGTCAAAAGCAATAATCGCTTCAGTGGGAAGGCCGCCTTTACTGTAGTGCACCATTTGGAATTCTTATTTAACCTACAAGAATTCCTAAATGTGCTTTGTTGAAAATATAGATAGAGTTTATGGAATTAAAATTACTATTTCACATTCATTTGCCAAAGTGAAATGTGACGTGTGCAATCAGAAATCTTTAGTGGAGCAGTACACCAAAGCCCTTTAACTTAAGCGATAATTGTTCTTAAAATAACGGAAAATTAATTACAGAAATTAATATATATTTTTTTGTAGAATACTATTTGCTTGGTGATTCAGCTTACCCATGCAGTCAGCATCTTTTAACGCCGTACAAGGATAATGGTCATTTGACCAACGCGCAAAGACACTTCAATAGAAAACTTAGCACAGGTCGTATTGCTATTGAACACTGTTTTGGAATTCTTAAGCAGAGATTTCGACAATTATATTATTGTAAGCTCAGAGGAATTAAAAAGCTATGCCATTTTGTAAGAGCGTGCTGTGTTTTACACAATCTCGCCAACCTGAATGACATCGAATTCATACCAGAAGAGAACAGTATTGAAAATGATGAAAACGAACAGCCTGGGACATCACGAAGAAACGCTTTAAGAGATTTGATACGCCAAGATTTGTATTCCAATTGGCAGCAATAATACTTAAAATACATACGTACATATATTTTTTCAAAAAACAACTTTTAATTTCATATATGAGATCAATTCACAAAGAGTGGGAGATATGAAAATTCTTAAATATCTAAAAAAAAGTATCAAAAATTCACTGAAGACCACAATTGAGCGGTTGGTGATTTTTTTTTTAATACTTGCGATGTTTTCCAAGTTATGATTTATTTGGTAATTTTGAGATTTTTTTTATATGGTTGTGGTTATAGTATAAACAACATGTATTTGTAAACAAAACTAACAAATAAAACCTAACTTTAAAAACATCGGAAGTATTAAAAAAATCACATTCACTGGCGATCAGTACTGAGCGAAAAACTCGGTGTATATTTGTAATTGTTCATGCTTTAATCAAAGCTATATAGATCAAAGTTTCAAACCTTATCTAAAATTTTTGGGTATGCAGTTACATACCTCATAATTACTAAAGATCGTCGGCTAAGAAATTGCGTTGATTTTTAGTAATTATGAGCTATGTAACTGCATATCAAAAAATTTTCTTAAGATTCAGATTGAAAAGTTAGAAATTTTGATACAAATTTTTTGAATTTTTCTAATTTTTGATAAGGTTTGAAACTTTGATCTATATAGCTTTGATTAAAGCATGAACAATTACAAATAGAATTTACAAAAAAAGTTTCACTTGAAAAATATTGTTAATACCTAAAAAACACCATTCACTGAGTATGGATCACCAGTTTAGAATTTCCACAAAAAAAATGTATAGCCTAACTATCGGGCCTTCGCTTAAGAAAAGCCTCTAGCAGTTCCATTTTTTTCTTGGCCATCTCCTCCCTCAACTGAGCCTTTTCTTCCTTAAATTGCATATGGTTTAAAACGCCTTCATTTAATTTTTTTTTGCTCCTCCAGCAGGCTCTCCATAGTTTGTTGCATTTTCCTTTGGTAACTAGTGGCTTTTTTCTTTAGTGCAGAACTAGGGACGTCATCTGTAATAAACATAATTGCGATATTTATTGGTATACATATGTATATTGATACAAATTTCGAACTTTGTAAAAAATTCGAAAAATTCAACAAAATTTTACAACAAACTTTTTATTAAGAATTTTTAGAAAAAAGCGAAGTACGCAGTTTTATAGCTCTCAGATTCTAGCTTTAGAAAGTCCAAGCTTCAAGTGACTAAGAATTCGCGTTGATTTTTGATGTTTTTTTTTTTTGCTGACGGTGTCACGCATTTGTATGGAAGAAAATTCGTGTCAGCAAAAAAACAAAAATAATCAAAAATCAACTCGAATTCTTAGCCACTTGAAGCTTGCACTTTCTAAAGCTAGAATCTAATGGGCTATAAATCTGCATACTTCGATTTTTTCTAAAAGTTCTTAATAAAAAATTTGTTGTACATAGTTTGAAATTTGGACTTTTATGGTTTTAGGGAGGTAATGACATTTTTTTATAATAAATAACAAAAGAAAAAAGATAAAAAAATATATAGGAAAGAAAAGTAGCCAAACCGAATAAAAATGTCGTGTACCTATTATTTTTCACATGTCTGTATATACCATATATGTTAGCAAAAACACTACCTTGCATTGGTTGATCCAAGTCGGAAGCGCTCTCGGACAAATAAGGCTCGGTTACGTCTGCACAGTGCAAGGAATAACTGGCGTTTACTGAATGCCTTTTCCCCAAAATATCATTCAACTCACTAGATACCAATAAAAGATGTTAAAAATAAAAGCAATAATTTTATTCTGGTTCAAAATACAAACCTTTGATAAGGACAAGTTTCCCTGTTGCTGCCCGTTCTCCTATTATGCAGCATCGTTTTTTTAAATTGTCTCTCAAGACCGCGAAACTTGTTTTCAATCTGTACGCTTGAAAAATTATAGCCCTCAAACGCCATTCTCTCCTCTATGATCTTC